TTGCTTTTCTTTACCTTGCCCCTCTGCCTTACCCCTCCTTGCCCTTCCCTGCCTCTGTCTTTCCCCTCCCTTGCCTTGCCCCTCTTGTGTTTTCTCACCTTGCCTCTCCATTGTGTCACCTTGCTTTTTCTTGCCCATCCCTTGGTTTGCATTTGTTTTCCTTCCTTTGCCCATCCCTTAGCTTGCCCTTCCCTTGCCTTGCCTATCCTTGCCCCCCCCCATGACCCCTTTTGCCTTGCCTACCCTTGCCCCTCCCTTGCCTTAGATTCACTTTCCTTTCTTTGCCCATCCCATGCTCCACTCTTGCCTTACTCCATTCTTTCCCTTGTCTTTCCTTGCCTTGCCTACCCCTCCATTGCCCTTTCTTGCCTACCTCTCCCTAGCCTTGCTGTCATTTTCCTTTCATTGCCTGTCCCTTGCCTTGCTTTCTGTCTCCCTTGCCCCTTCTTTCCTCTACATTGCCTTGCCTTCCTTCCCCCTCTGCTGCCTTTTCCCTGCATCCATTACCCTGCCTTTGCTTTCCTTCGTCTATCTCTTGCCTTGCTGACCTCCTCCCTTTACTTTCTTTGCCTTGCCTTAACTTGCTCTTGCATTTCCCCTCCTTGCCTTTCATTGCCCCTCTGTTGCCTGCCCTTGCCTTGTTTTGCCTCTCCCTTGTTTGGCTTTTCCTTGCCTTGCCTTACCGTGCCTGTCCATGGCATTGCCCCTCTCTGTCCTTCCCTTGCCCCTTCTTTGCTTTATCCCTTCTTGCCTTGCCTTTCCCTTGCCTTGCGTTCTTTGGACTTACTCCTTGTGGGTTTAGGTTTCTCAGTAAATTTCTTCCCACTGTTATCGGGGAGACCCTGGAAGGGGGAGGAGGTGGCTTTCTGAGTGAATATTCAGTGATCAAAACACAAAAGGAAGTGGCCAATGGCCCTGGCATTCCAGCGGAGTAGGTTTGGGAGTTTTGGCTGATGGATGGGCTCTTCCACTTGGGGTTCTTCAGGAGTTGTGACTTGGTGCTGTGAAAGGTCTGAGACTTCGGCTGCAGGTGAGTCCTTCCTTTGGCCGAGGGATCCATAGCAGTTGTATGGCTGCTGCCTGGAGCCGGGCAGTCTCAACCTCATCTCTTTCTGCACAGTAGCTCAGCACCCTGATGGAGCCCTGCCTACCTCCCCCAGCTTGTGCCTGCTGCAATGCCAAGAGCAGCTGTGCCCCTGTGAGTTTGCGGAAGGAGCAATTTTCTTCCTTCCCTCCCTGTGCCGGCTGTGAGAGGATCACTGCAGCTTCTGCCCCACCAGAACTGCCAGCTCTCCTGCCAGCTGCGATGGAACCATTGCAGCCTGTGCTTCCCAGAGTGTGCCAGCACGCCCTGCCGAGCGTAGTCATAACTACACTAAAGCGGGAAAAAGTACTTAGCAGGTGGGGAGTTTCTGTTACTGTCTTCTTGTTATGTTGGGGTTTATTTCTAGTAAAGAACTGTTACTCCTTTTACTGTATGGATGCCCCATAATTGGGAAATTACAGTAATTTGGAGGGAGGGATCTTCTTTCCATTCCAGGAAGGTTCCTTTGTATTTCCTTGTCCTCCCTTTCCTTGCTCCCCTACCTGTCCCTTACCTGCCACTTACTTTGTTTTGCCCTTCCTTTGCCCCTCCCTTTACTCTTTCTTGCTCTGCCCCTGCCTTGCCTGTTTCTTTTCCTTTCCCCTTTCTTGCCTTGCACTTATTTGCCCCTCCTATGCTCCTCCTTTGCCTCTCCCTTTCCCATCTCTTGCTTGGCTTTTCCTTGCCTTGCCTTTTCCTTCCCTTGCATTGCTTTCCCTTGCCCCCTGCTTTGTCTGTTCCTTATCTTGCCCCTCCCTTGCCTGGCCCTCTGTTTCTTTACCTACCCCATCCTTGCCTTGCCTACATGTCCCTTGCCTTGCCTATCCCTCCCTTGACTTTCAGCAAGGAAATGCAAGGGAGGGGCAGGAAAGGAAAGTGTAGACAATGGAGGGATAGGCAAGGCATGACAGGAGAGTTTTGGGGAAGGCTCCACTACCTCCTTGGACAGCCCATTCCAATATCTAATCACCAAGAAGAATTTATTTCTAATTAACAACCTAAGCCTCCCCTGTCACAGTTTAAGACTGTGTCCCGTTGTCCTATCACTGCTTGGGAACGGAGCCCAACACCCAACTGGCCACACTCTGCTGTCAGGGAGTTGTAAAGAGCATTAAGGTCACCCCTGAGCCTCCTCTTCCCCAGCTGAACAGCCCCATCTCACTCAGCCACTCTTCAAAAGACATACATGTCAGGTTCTTCATGAGTTTCACTGCCCTTCCCTGGATGTGCTCCAGCCCCTCCAGGTCTAGGCTGCTCTAGGCCCAGAAATGGTTGCTGTAGCTTTAAGGTGGGTCCAGAGAATGGGGGAGCCTTGGGGGTTTTTGATGTGCTTTATTCAAAGCCTCACTGCCCAGGCATCCATCGTGCCGTGCAGATTCTTTTTTTGCTTACTTAGCTTGGGTTTTGTTAGCTTAGGCAAGAAGTTGGTTTTCTTTCCTTTCCCTGGCCTTGGAGACAGCAGCAGCAATCCTTCTGTTTATTTCTGTAATGGGATGGTTTAATTGGTTTGGTTTTGGTTTTAGATCAGAGAGAACAATTGATGGGAGATTAATTGGCCAGGATAGGAGACGGGAACCAGCAGGAAGGCAAGGAAGGGGCTGCTCCATCCCAGCCCCAGAAAATCCAAGTGAACAAGATAAAGGACACCAAACCCACCAGCTTCATCTGCTGTGAAGAGGAGACCCATGCAAGATATTTACCAGATTCTCATCTGCTTTACCCAAGCTGCTGCATGAACCCTTTGGTATTTTTTCCATTCCTCAATACAGGAGACACCACAATTTTTTTCTCCCCACCACACTGCAGCCAACATTGTGGGTGTTTTTTTTTCTCTCCCTGGCATTTGGTTTTTCTTTTGTTCCAGTGTGGGTTGTGTGTATCAGGGGAGGGTAAGCTCTGACAATTCAATATTTAGCATTTATTCAATTTTTTTCTCCTGTGCTGAGCTATGTGGGCACTCTGTCAAGACCCCTGGACATGAACATCAGCCCACTTGCCAGAACTCGCCCCACCAGTGTGCTGATGTCAGTTTGGAGGAGGTGTTTGGCACTGCCAGGGCAGCCTGAGTTGTAGGTGGTAGCAGTTGGGTCTGGGAGACATCCTGCATTGATTGGAATTTTAGGAGGTGGCAGCCTACTCAGGGCCACAGGGCCCTGGACACCAATTCTAGCCCTTTTCCATGGGAACAAAGCTTACCACCCCATTTTCCTGATGTCAGTTTGCAGGAGGTGCTTGGCACTGCCAGGGCAGCCTGTGTTTTAGGTGGTGGCAGGTTGTGTGTGTGGCAAGGGGTAGGTCACAAATCGCTGTTGTCTCATTTTCTGTTTGTGAACTACCACGAACAAAGATTTTCTATGAAGCAACTGCTTTGCCTCTGTCTCCAACTCGCTTTTTTGCTACTAATTGTTATTCCCAGCTGTGTGTAGTATTTTATCACCTTATTGAATTACATTGTCTTTAGTTCAGATCTTGGTTCTTACTTGTCATGATTTGTTCAATTCCAATTAGATCTTTCAAAATGATTACAGCGCTCACCTGGACAGGATATCCTCCACAAATATGAGAAAAATATTCCAAAACCTATTCCCGTACAGAAGCAGTTCAGAACTCAAGATGTAGGAGGACTGCAAAACTAACTTGATACTACTTTTGAGTGCCATTTTCTAAGCATTTCAACCAAGTTTTGTATAGCCAATGCTGATCCTGCTTAGGAGAGCATTAGCTGATACATTGTCAGAAGCCTTGCTGCAGTCAAGATTCCATAATTTGGTTTTGAGATGTTAATGTTTTTATTAATCTTATCATCCAAGGCCTGACAAATAATTTGCTTAATAATTTCTGCCAGTAATTTGGAAGATACAAAATTATGTCTGATACAAAATAAAGCTGATTGGCCTCTGATTCTCATCCTTTTCTGCTTTAGGGTAGGCAGTGTTTGCTTTTTGCTGGTCTCATGGAACTTCAGTATCTTTTCTGAGTTCTTGAAGAGAATTGCTAATAGCCTTCAGATTAGTTAACCATTTTTCTAAATGTGTTGTCTAAAATTGCAGATGATATTTGTAAGCCTCTTAAATAAATTCTTTCTTTCTGTAGTTTAGGTTTATTCGTGTATTGGTAGGTTTGGATGGTAGAGTTAATTCTCTTCACAGTGGGTGGTGTGGGTCTATGTTTTGGATTTGGACTATTCACTTCCCCTGTAAATCATCTGATTACAATGGTTCTTTTCCTTTTTGCCATGATCCAAATATTGTCATTCATTCTGTACCTTATGTCTCTTTTTTCCTACCTAGGCTTCCTGAACAAACTCTCCATTTTCAATAACCAGTTATGGCCATTTATTCATAATTCTGGTAATTAATAAAATTACTTTCATTATTAGCCGCATTCACACACCAGTGTGCAGTGACTGGGTACAGTGTCAGGGATACTCTCTTCTTATTATTTCTCTATTGTAATAGTAAAATAATTTTCCTCCTCTGCCTGAATTCTTCTGCTTTCCCTATGCCTTTGTGGTTTATCTGAACTCATGGTGGGATAAAAGTAATCTGGAGGCAATTTAATTTACACCATTTATAGACAAATCATAAGAATTCTTAAATGGGAGCTGGCTTTTTTTCTTCTGTGAAATGCTCTCCTTTGCCTGCTTGTCTTGCCAACTTTGAGACAGGTTTTTTAATGACAGTTCAGCTCAAAAAAGACCATGTAACAAACAAACCTCTCGACCCCGGTGACAAGAAAACAGCCTAAAATCAATGCCCACATGGGCAGTCTGGCTGTGCCAGGGCCAACAGGACACAGCCCACTGGCTTTTATGCTAAAGTTGTTTTATGGAAGGCTGTGTCTTGGCATTCCTTAAGATTTTGCTGAACTTTAATTTATATGTAATTTGTTTCACACACAACTTGACAAGACAAGCTGTCGTAATTTAAACATATTTTATTTAAACATAAACAATGGTGATATTTGATTAAGCATAGATATTTACTTTTTAAATATTTGTTTAACCACACCAAACCACTGTCTATAAGCAAACACAATCTACCACTTGGCTAGACCAGGGTACAAAATCTGAAGGCAAGCTTAATTCATTTTTCCCAAAGCGTGCTACGATTTAAAGGTTGCTTCCATTGTCCTTCAGTTGTGGGTGAGGATTTTGACACGTTTCAGTGCCTGCTGGATGCTTTCTGACAGGTGGGAGAGAAGCATTTACCGAAATGAGTGTGGGCAGCAGCAGAGGGGAGGATTCTGCCCCTCTGCTCAGGTGAGACCCACCTGCCTCCAGCTGTGGGTCAAGGACAAGGACCTGTTGGAGTGGGCCCAGAGGTGGCACCAGCATGGTCAGGGGCACGGAGCACTTCTGCTGTGATAAAAGGCTGAGAGAGCTGGGATTGTTCAACCTGGAAAAGAGGAGGCTTTGGGGTGACCTCATGCTACCTGAAAGGGAACTTGCAGGGAGAATTTATTTACAACAACATACAGTTACAGGACGCAGAAGAATTGCTTACCACTAGAGAGCGGGGTTAGATTAGATATTAGGAATAAATTTCTCCCTGTGAGAGTGGTGAGGCCCTGCCACCGGGTGCACAGAGAACCTCCGGGCTGGCTCCATCCTCGGCGTGTCCAAAGCCAGGCTGGACGGAGCTCGAAGGAACCAGAGGAGCTGTGTGGCCACGGCACGAGAGCGAAACGAGATGCTCTTGTCCAACGCAATGACAGATGGTTCCATTCTGTAATTCTGCGTCCCAGAGGGGGCACTCCCACCACGGCGGGAAGCCGGGCCGGCCGGCGGAGCGCTGCCGCCGCCGTCCCTCCGCTGCCGCCTGCCGCCGTGTCGGCCGTGCGCGCGCACCCGCCCGCCCCCGCGCCGCGGAATGCGGGCGGCGCCGCGCCCTGAGCCGGCCCTGAGGCGGCTGCGCGGCCCCGCCGGGCTGCAGCGGCGGCGGCGCGGCGAGGACGGCCCGGCGGCCGCGGTGAGACAGCGGGACGCTGCCCGCCGGGGCGAGCGAGGGGGAGGACGGGGAGCCGCCGGGCCAGCGCGTGTGACGGCGGCAGTGCCCGCTGAGCCGAGCTGGCTCCTGCGCTGGCCGCGGGCCCCCGGCGCGGCGGGCGCGGGGCGATGGTTCGGCTGCTCCGCGTTGTTGGGCGTTTGTCCGTGTGCCGGAGCTCCCTGCGCAGCGGCGCAGTGCGGGATTTAAAAAATAAAGTTGTTTTCGTGGTCGGGAACGCGAGAGCGCTGTGGAAGCGTTCATCTCCCTGCCTCCTCCACGGGAAAAGTGAAGTCACTTCCCAAGAGCCCGGACTAGCAAACTACAGCCCTCGGTCCGTGCCGTCTGCGTGCGTCAGTTTCGTCTGCTGGCGAAACTGACGCCTGTGTTTTGCTTTGGGGTGGTTGTCTTTTTCATCCTTTTTTTTTTTCTGGCGGTTTGTTTTATTTCTGGTGTTTGTTTTGTTTTTTAAGCCCTCTTCCACTCTCCCCCGACCTGTAAGCTGGTACAAAATTCTGCTGTGTAGATAAGAGTGCTTGAAAACCTGCTGATACCATCTGAAGCAGGGACGGCAGTGAAGGAAATGGACTTGGTGATTCTCCTCCTGTATAAGTTCCTGCAGTGGCGTGTCGTGTGTACTTTGCTCCTGCTGTCACTCTCTCAAAGCTGTGCTGCTACGTTTGCTGTGCTTGGTTTGATAGTGCTGTGAATAAGGCATATATCCTACCACATTTCACAGCTGTGTGCGTGTGGGTATCCATCCATTGTGTGCTTGAGAGGGGGTTAAAAGATTTTAAATGTCAGCTCTTCTTTAAAACAGAGAAAAAACTAGTGACAATTAAGAAATAACTTGCTTAGGTAAGCATTGTTTATCTCTCATAGTCAAGCTCTAGTCTCACAACCGTGTGGCTTTCCAGCTAAAACTTTCAGAAGGGCAGGTGTGCTTCCAGTTTCCAGAGAGATGTCTTGTTGAGGGTACAGGCAACATTTTGTTACTCCTGTAAATGCAGAGAAGGTACTGTGGCTTTATTTAACCAAACCTCTATGATACAGGCCAAATCCTGACTGCCTGTCAGACCAGCCTGGCTCCAGATTGCATGAAGGTTTACTTGGCTTATAAGGTTGGTTCTGCAAATTATGTCTCTGCCTAGGTTTTAAGTAGGATTGTAGCTAACTCTGTTTGTATGGGTTAGATGGTAATAATTATATGATTAATAACTTATTTTGTAGTTTAAACTTGAAACAACTATAAATACAGTTAAAAGTAAGCACAAATTGACTCCAGTGTTGTAAGAATGCTGCCAGGGAGTGTCCAGAGGAGAGGCAGCCCCAGCTGATGAACCCCAGAACTCAGTGAGTGACAGGGCCTTCCACTGCTTCCTTCTGTTTTAGGCAGAGGTGGAAAATCATGCTTGGTTAGTTTTGTTTTATTGATTTGATTTTTAAAATAACTGCTTTTTTTCCAAAAGTACTCTGGGCCTAGAACAGCTTATGAGAACTGTAAAAATTGTTCTGCAGTCTTTGCTTTAAAATGGTTACAATGAAAGGTATTGCTTTGTTAAAAATAGCATTCAGTTCTTTAAAAAGTGATTCACAGATTAAGTCATGGTGGTGTTAGTAAGGGGATTGCAGAAAGATCAAGTTTGTAATGTGCTCTCTTGTGTTCCTGGTGCACTCCCTAGCATGTCAAGAGAAGGAGCAGCGTTGTGGCTGCTCCTTCTCTCATCAAAGGGACTTCCACAGTCAGGAAGTGAGTAAAAAGAACTAATCTGGTTAAAAAGATGTACTTCTATTTCTTCTTTTTTTTTTTTTTCTTTTTTTTTTTGTTCCCTGAGGTACTCTGATTACAACAACTTCCTGACCCTGCTCACTTGCCTGGCCGTGTGGGCATTGCCTTAGTCCAGAGGAGGAAGCTGAGTGTTGGTAGGGGAGAGAGTGGAACAGTCACAGGTGGTATGATGGTCCTTAGCTGGCACCTGGCTTTATGGCCAGGGAGTGAATGGCAGAAGCCAGGGCTGCTAGAAGAAGCTACATTGTGGGTTTGACTGGCTTAAGCTACTTGTGGTGAAGGTAGCAGTGCTAGTAAGGGTGGTGGCTCTTTTTTTTTTTTTTTTTTTTTCTGCCAGTACTGTCTTAGATTGATTATGAAGCCATGGTGTAATTTTTTATTGACTTTTGACAATATTAAATGGACTCAAGAGCCATCTGTGTGTCTGTGTTCTTCCATGGGCCCACAGAAATTGCTGTGGTTTTCTTCTCTCTCCTTTGCTCATCTGTTCAGCTCTCTGAACTTTTTGGTGAGTTCTTAATTTCAAGGAGTGATCTTGGCATTGTTAGGGGTTTTTGTAAATTTATTCTGCTCTAATTTAAAAATAATTAGTTGTATATTGCTATTACCTCTGCTGTAATAGGAAGGCTATTTCAAACTTGACTGACCTTAGTAATTACACACTTTCTGATTTCTAGTCTAGATTAATTTGTCATGGGATTATACTAATTTTATGCACCCCATGGACTGATAGGTTTTATTGGCACTCTTGATCTTGGTATTAAAAAAAAAATAGGCACTTTTAACAAAAAGGATGCAAATGTGTGGAAATACACCATGGAAGGTTTGTTTGCTCTTCGGGCCACCAGCTACACTAATCATTCCTGTACTAATTCTCAGCTTCTCCCCATGAATTTTGATCTTGACCTATTAAGTGAGAATTAAAATACACCTTTCAGGCATTAACATTGAGTTTCCTGAACATTCCTTTTAGTGAAAGTTGTTTTCATGTATATTTTGATAACATGTGTTTTTTGAAATTCATACCTTTGTCAGTTTGTTCCAGTCTCAGTCTTGCTCTGTTATACTGGTACAGCTGTTGAAGGAGCCATTATTGTAATCTGGATTGGTGAAGGGATTCTTTGTTATTTGGCCGAGTCCTAGTCCATAAACAAAGACTGATGTGTTTGAGAATTGCTTATTTCACGTTTTTCCTATATTCGTAGATTTAAAGAGAAACAAAAACAATGTGTAGATTATTAGAAAACCTCTGTGGCTTTTAAAGTGTTTATTTAAATTTGCTGTCAGGAGTGTTCCCAGAAGTGACTTTGTGATGCTGACAAACTAGTTTGTTGGGTGTGACTGTTTGTAAACAGAACATAAATACATAAATGAGGTACCAAAATCTGCTTAGTAAAATAGATTGCTCTGAAAGGTAAGGCCCTTGTGGAAAGCATGTTAGATTGTGTCTTTCCTGGAATGTCTCTTACTCTATGGAAGGAGTAGTAGAAGTTTCTTTCTAATGTTTTGAAGTGGTCAGAAGGAAAAAGTAGCTTTTGCCACAGTGAGATGGGTCACAGCCATCTGCTTTCCTACTCTTGTCATCCCTGTGACATGAGCCAGAATACTGAAGAAGGTGTGGGTTTTTTTAGATCACCTAAGCTTAAAAGCGTAAAATGTTTCTGATGCTGAAAACATGTTCCCTGTTTGTGGGGGAAGCGCAGCAGTACAAAGGGAAGAAGTTCTAAGGGCAAGAAGATAAGAGATATATACATTTCTGTGTAGGTCACTGGATGTAGGCTGTATGTACAGCAGAACTGGAATTCTGAAGCACATGGTTTAAAGAAATAAACCTGATGCAAAACCTGAAGGAAAGTTTCTAATATAGAATAATTGGCAGGTCAAGTAGTAAATTCCTAAAACAGAGTAATTTAAGTTGGAAGGGGCTTCTGGAGGTCATCTGATCCAGCTCCCTGCATATATTAAAGTAGGAATGATTTAGATAAGATTGTTCAAGCCTTTAACACCTTTCTGGGCAATCTGTTTCCACAATTGACTGCACTTAATTGTGCAATTTCTTTCCTCTCTCCCTTTAAGCTAGTTGAAATTTACTTTCCAGCTTGTGTCTGTTGCCTCTTAACATATCAGTGTCCATCATCCCGAAGAGTCCAGTTCTCCCTTCTGCAGCCTTTCATTAGAGAGCTGACAGTACTAAGGATCCTTTAGAGCTCTTTTCTGGACCAGATTGTGCAAACTCAGTTCCATCAGCCTCTCACTGTACACCATGTGCTCCTGCCATCTGGCCAGCTTGGCCACTGGACGTGCTCCAGAGTGTCTGAGATGTACCAGGGAGCCCAAACCTGGCTGCTCTGCAAACACAGGCTCACAGAGGGGACTGATCCTTCCCCAGACCTGCTGCCTGTTGTCCTGCAAACAGGCCACGCTGTGCTCAGCTGCCTTTGCTATGAGGATGTACTGGTGACTTATTTTCAAAATTTTGCCTGCTGGGATCTCCAAATAGTTTTCTGAAAAAGTGAGGCTTTATCTAGTTTGTGTTCAGCTCATCTTGTCACAGGAGGTTGTTTTGCCACTGATACAGGACCCACCACTTGCCTTCACTGAACTTCTCAAGGACTTATTAGTGCCTTTCTCCATCCTGTCCAGGTCTGAGGGGAGCTGACCACTCCTCCCACTCTGGTGTCATTGGAAACTTCCTGAGGATGCAGCCTGTCCCATCATCTAGATAATTCCTAAAGACATTGGGTGTTACTGCTGGTTTCATCCAGGTGATCCCCAGGGGATGTCACTGCAACTGCTTGGATGGAACTTGGTACAGCTGGTGGCTGTTCTTTCAGCTCAGCAGTGCAGGCAAATTCCCAAACACCTCACTGCTCACTTACCCCATGCCTATCTCACCAGTTTGGCTGTAGGGATGCTGTGGGGGACTCTTGTTAATGGCCTTCTGTGTTCTGTGCTCTTCCATTATCTGCTAAGCCAGTCATCTCCTTGCAGTAAACTCTTTGTGTTCTTCAGGCGTCAGTTGTCCTTGGTAAATCCATTCCCTGTCATCTTCCTGTGC